GCTCGTCTGGGTCGCAGCTCACACTCGTGTCTGGCTGCTGGCACCACGAGCGGGGAACCCAGGCATTGGGGGTCCTCCCAAATCCCTCTACGGGGGGAGTGCCGCAGCCTCCCACCCTGCATCCCAGCCCTTTGCATGGCAGGAGCAGCTCAGGAGCAGCCGGACTGTTTCAAGAAGCGTCCAGGTCGCCCCCACGGCTGGGTTAGGCGCGAAAGATTCTGTTGGCCGAGTCAGGGGGACCACGCTTTGCCATCGCTGGTCCCCAGCGTCACCCACCCCCTCTCCCCCAGAGGAGCTAAAACCACTTTTGTTTGTTTTGCTTTGCTTCACACCTCCTCGCACGCAAAAGGAGCTTTAATGACGCCAGTTCTGGCTTTCTCTTGCAGGTGGAGCCACGCCGGTGAGGTGCGGAAACACCCCTGCTCCGCTCTGCCAAAACCGCCGCCTGCAAACGAGTTAAAAACCAAGAGAAAAGGAAAATTGTGAGCGCTTGCAAGATGGGAGCTGGGTGTGCACGGCCCCTCCTCGGCCGCAGCTCCCAAAACTCCACCCATAACTTGCAAACTTGCCCAGGAACAGGTTGCAAACTTGCAGGAGCTTTGCAAAGGCCAGGAGGATTTTCTTGGCATCATCTTTTCCGATGGGATTTGAGCAGCAGCCCCAGGAAAATTCCCTTCAGATATTTTCCAGCCTCTTGGGGGGGGGGGGTTTGTAGCAGAATTGGTTTTATTCATTTAGAATCTCGAAAGCGAATCTCAGGGCTGCTCGGAGATGTTATCACATGCAAACCGCCCCGAAAGCTCATTTCAGTGCTTTACCAGCTAAGAAGTGCACAAGCGCTCCGGAAAACGTGCAAAAGCCCTGGGGAGCTGCCAAGTGCTGGGAGCGAGGCAGGAGAGGACGAGCCAGCGCGGTGTCACTGTCACCCAGTGCCACCACCATATGGTCCCACCTGCCCGGCCCCGTGTCCAGTTTGGGCAGCTGGAGCAGCTCCGGCAACTCCCCCATCCCATTTTTTCCCGTCCAGGGGGGGGAAACAGGCTTTGCTTTGGTCCTGCGGGGTTGCTCGGCTTGGCTTGGAAGGGGAGGAGGAGGAGGAGGAGGAAGGCCATAAGGGCCCGGGGGAGGGAAGAGATGCTTGGTAGCAATGAGAGATGGCGTAAAAATAATAAAATCCCTGATTCCTGGGTAAGCAACGTCGGTCTCGGACTTAGATCAGATTATGCCTTGTGGTACCCTGTGGTGCAGCCATCAGAAATGGCTGCGAAACAGGAAAAAAAGGGATTTTACCATTACAGAACGCAGCAAAGCCACATTGCAGCCCCTTCTCTCCTTATTGTGCTCACGGGGCAGTAAAAGGCACCGAAGAGCAACCCCACGACGCATGGGGAGCAGCTCTGCTCCTTGCTCCAAGGGTGATCCCCATTTTCCTGGTTGCTCAGTTGTCCCCGGATAACGCCCTGAAGCCAGGAGGCTGCGAGGTGCTTGGGTGCAATTAATACCCCCAGTTCAGGCGGTGCTGCAGCCGGAGGGGCATTGCGGAGGGGAGGGGAAGCACCCGCTGCTGCTCAGAGCCCTCGGACGCAGCCTGAGAACAGCCCGGGAGCTCCTGCGGCCGAGCCGGCTCAGCTGGCTTGAATTAAGGAAGGAAAAACGAAAAGACAAAGCTTGGAAAAGAAGCATCTTGAGCCATGATCCTGGGCTGCGCCACCCAGCATCACCTCCCACAGCCTCCCACGGCCAGTGATGGCAAGGACCGGCTGCAGCACCCAGCTCAGCCTAAAACCGGCGGGGGGACAGCACGGGGTGACAAATCCCTCCTGCTTCATCCGGGTCGAGAGCCCCTGGGAGCCACGCGTGGGGACGATGCCCAGAGGAAGAGTGAGCTGCCGCCCCGGCGCAGAGCCGGCACCAACTGTGGAAGCAGGAACATGGAGGGTTTAGCTTTTTTA